GGGACTACAGGTGCATACATCACTCCTGGGCTTTTTTTTTTTTTTTTTTTTTTTTTTTTCAAGAAACAGGGTCTCACTCTTCGCCCCGGCTGGTCTTAAACTCCTGGGCTTTTTTTTTTTTTTTTTTTTTTTCAAGAAACAGGGTCTCACCATGTTGCCCAGGCTGATCTCAAACTCCTGGCCTCAAGTGATCCTCCTGCCTTGGCCTCCCAAAGTGTTAGGATTACAAGCAAGAGCCACTGCCCCCAGCCCCTCCCAGGTTTTTGGTGCTTCCTTCACTTCCCCTGAGAAGAAGCCCTGCCCTACTTGATTGCCAGTCACACCCTCACTGCCAACTGTGCCAGGATGGCCACCCCAGGGGAACCTGAAGACCAGGGTCCTTGTCTTGGCTTTGCTGCTGCCACAGGGAGCATGCTGGAGACAGATCCAAGTTCAAATCCAAGTTCGACCTCTTCTGAGGTGCTGTCTCCCTGCGCCTCGGTTTCTGAGTCTATGGCGCAAAGGTACTAATGTCCACTTGTCAGGGCTGTTGTGGGGAATATATGCCAAGCGTGCAAGGAAGGTGCTCTCCAAGGTTAGCTACAGTGAGATGGTTTAAAAAGCTCTGGTGGTGGCCAGCCACGGTGGCTCATGCCTGTAATCTCAGCACTTTGGGAGGCTGAGGAGAGCGGATCACGAGGTCAGGAGTTTGAGACTAGCCTGGCCAACAGGGTAAAAAAAAAAACCCCATCTCTACTAAAAATACAAAAAAAAATTAGCCAGGCGTGGTGGTGCATGTCTGTAATCCTAGCTCCTCAGGAGGCTGAGGCAGGAGAATTGCTTGAACCCAGGAGGTGGAGGTTGCAGTGAGTCGAGATTGCACCACTGCACTCCAGTCTGGGCAACAGGGCGAGACTTGTCTAAAAAAAAAATTCTCCTCTCCAGGCCTCAGTTTCCTCATTTATAAAATGGGGCAATGATGTCTGAGGCTGCATTCAGCCCTCATTGTCTTGCAAGTCCCTCTGCCTTTCACTTTGGACCTGTGTTGCTGGAGCCACATCCCTGGATCTGGCCTGACTGTGCCTGATCACCTCTGGAAGCCACCTGTCTCCCTGACCCACTCGGGAAGCCTGAGGGACCAGAGGTGCTGCCAGGCCATCCTCAGCTTCACATGCTTTAAAAAGGGTCAAATATGATTTAACAACAATTGCTATTTTTTTGAGCTGCTATATCATGCGTGGGGCCTGTGGACTTATTTCTGAACTCTTGGAAGTTGGTATTATTATTCCCAGTTATTAAAGATAAAGAGGCTTTCAGTGGTCAAACCATTTGCTTAAAAAGATGCTGGAAGTGGCAAAGTTGGAATCTGAATTCAAATAGCAAACAACTGTAACAACAGGAGCTAACATTTGGTAGGGCGCAATATTACTCTTTTAAGATAGATGGAGGAGCAAGACTGAAAGAGATGGAATGATTTGCCCAGTCACCAAGGTAGGAGGTGACAGAGCTGGCCTTAAACCTGAGCCTGCCTGGGGCAATGCCCAAGCCGGCTCTTCGACAGTCCTTCCCTGCATCCCACAACGCTGCAAGCATCAAAGGTCACCCAGCAGCCTCTCCCAGCCGGCCCCAAGTGCTCCTTCTCACATTTCCAGGCTGGGGCTATCTGACCCTGAAACAGGCTGCTGAAGGCAGACTTGGGAATCCCGCCTTAGCTCCTGAACAGGGATTCCCACCCAGAGATTCCCTGGACTTCCTACGATTGGATGCAAATTCGTGAATATATGTGTGTGCATTCCAAAAGTGACAAAGCACAGCTTGAGAAGTTTCTGATTCTGTGGAATGAGAGAACACGAGAGACGTCCCCAGAATTTCTAGGTCTCCGCAACCTGCCTGTCCCTGCCTCTTGGACTTCAGCACTATCTTCCAGGAGGACTCTCAGAGAAGACAAGCAATAGGCCAAGGCAAGTTAAAACTGCACCACCCTCCCCTAACTGGACTGACTGCAAAGATGCATTTATTCCAGCTTGTGTCAGTATTGCCAGACAATTCCCAGGCCCCACCAGAGGGGAGGGATGAGCCACAAACCCTTCCGGGCACTGATTTATGTAGCATTCATGCGGAATTTATTATACAAAGAATTTTATTCAATTAAATTTGAAATGCGCCTAGATTCTTAAAGGTTCAGTAGTGATCACGGGGACAGGGTGATATAAAACTGAATGGGCTGTTGGAAGGCATCAAGGCAGGAGCGAGGGTGACATTGCCACTGATGGGGGCTTCGGAACCACGGACGTTTGTCATTGGGATGTGCTACAAGTTCGGGCTGTGGAAATTACTCGGTGAAAAATGCACATTAACAATAGCCATGAAATATCAGTTAAGGGAAACTAGGTTGAGAAATGAGACAGCAGGATCTATCAGAGTCTGGCATTGTTCACCGCAGCCCAGGTAGTGATTAAAATGACTGTCAAGCAGCAGTGGGGTGGGAGCCGAGGAGCACGGGGCCAGGAGTCACGAGGCCGTGTCCTGGGCCCACATCTTGGCACCGACTCCCCAGGACAACTCAGTTCTCCACCCGCAAGGTGGGGCACATCTAATGCCTCCTTCCAGGGCTGCTACAGGGTTCAAATGAGATCGTGTCTGTGGAACGCTCGGCTCAGGGCACTGCACATAGCAAGCCCTTTCACAGTGTGGGCTGGTGTCACCGTTACTGTGGGCTTCTCTCTGACAGAAGAGCCAACTGCCAGCACTCTGGAAATGACACTGAACACCCCACTCCAGGGAGCCTGGTCTGGAGGAGGGGGAGGTGGGGGAGGCATTTTTCATGGGTAAGGGAGTGTCCACAAACTTGGTGATTGAATAATATTTGAATGCAATATTTTCCGTAATTTAATTTGACTCAATCATAATTTGATATGACTCAATCATAATTTGATTCTTCCAAAATCAAATCATGAAAAAATCTACAATAAGCAAGGGATCATGACTTTAAATAAAAACAGGCTGCTGTTTGTTTCGAAAGCCCGTGTTCCCATGCAATGGGATTGATCGTTTCTGAGGGCTGCCAATGATGTGCAAACACTGGGGCAGTGGGGCTTCGCAGCCGTGTTTCTTGATTGCAGGCTTTTATTAACTTTTCCCACCCGGTTCAAAATATGGGAGGATATTTGCTCAGTGTGCAGAAGGGTACGCAGCTTTCCTTTTGCCTCAGGCTCTTGATAGGGCTTTTGAAACGCGCTGCAGAAGAGCAGCTGCTTCAAACACCGCATCCTCCCAGCTCCCAGAGCAGGTTTTCTCCATTTTTCCCAGGTTGATAGCACCGGAGATAAACACCTGCCGAGTGGTAGCGTCTGCCCTGCACCTGGGTGGTTTCTCAGGGAAGTGTTTACTGGTGAACCGGGAGATAGATGCAGAGGCGGAGGTCTGAGAATGCGACTGTTAACATCCGGCCTGTGACAGCCGATCCTGGAAGGACAGGACTTGGCAGCAGGCGAACGGCCTTGTTTCAAAGGTCATGTTTCAAAGTTTTTTTTTTTTTAGGATGCTGCATTTACTCAAAGAACTTTTCTTATCCTTTGGAGGCTGTGCTTTGCCATGGCTAGGCATGCAGGGCTGGTGTTTTATTAAATATATATTCCAGGAGGATTTTGAGGTTTGGACAGAATTGAGTGGTTTGCTGCGAGCTCTTTAAACATGCTCCCTGACCGAACCTTAGTGATTGCAAACTCAGGCCTTTCCCATTTTTTTTTTTTTTTTTGAGACAAGAGTGTCACTCTGTCACCCAGGCTGGAGTGCAGTGTCTCGACTTCAGCTCACTGCAGCCTCTGCCTCCTGGGTTCAAGTGATTCTTGCCTCAGAGCTGAAGCTCTTGCCTCAGCTTCCTGAGTAGCTGGGATTACAGGCACCCGTCACCATGCCCGGCTAAGTTTTTTTTTTTTTTTTGTATTGTTAGTAGTGCTGGGGTTTTGCCATGTTGGCCAGGCTGGTCTCAAACTCCTGACCTCAGGTGATCTGCCTGCCTTGGCCTCCCAAAGTCCGTTTTCAGTTCTGTGTGCAAATACTGAGCACCTACTCCGTAACAGACTTGGTAGTGACTATGGGGACAGGAAAGCACTGAACAAAGCCCCCTCCTGGAAGACATTCACACACTCCGGGTCATCTACACCTCACCCACCCTGCCCAAGGCTCGAGAGGGCCACCACAGCCTGTCAGCAACAAAAGGATCCAGAAGACACGAATGTCCCTGGCCCTCCTGCAAACTTTGCAGGCAAGGTGGTAAAAATAAAGGCAAAAATATGCACATGACTGTAATGTTTGCTGACTTGCCGGCAAGAAAAATGGCCGGAGTGACCAGCCTTCCCGAGCCCCCCCTCCCCCCCGGTGGCCAAGGATGAGCAGGCACTCGGCCAATATGTGACGCTGAATGGAGTTCGCCAGGCATTTCAGCCCGGACACTCGACAAGAGCCTGCCCTTCCGAAGTCATTTCCTGCAATTAGCAGCCTGAAGTCTTTAGGTTCCTGGGGCTGCCTCTCTGCCCTTCATAAATATCGCCTTTCCCAAGGACACTGCTGGCACTAGCAGTGTCGTTTCATAGCGGGAGGGAGCAATGGTGACAACTGAAATAAATACAGCCATGGCACGGATCGCAGAGGCGTAAGCCAGCCAAGTGCAACATCGGAGAAATCAGTCTGGTGGATGTCAGCCTCGCCGGAAACTGACAACCTCATTTTCTCAGGCTGAAGACACTGCACTGCAGACCCTTGACTCAGTCCAACCAGACAGGGAAGTTCACCTTTAAGCAGTAGTGCTGTTCTCACCAGAGTCCATCTCTTTCAGAGGGGGTCCCCTAAGCTGCACCCCCGCCACACACACTTCAATCTAAGCCAGGAGTTTCTGAGCCTCGTCTGCCAATCTGCAGCGGTCCCTCCCCCACACTTTGGTGGTGATGGGTGGCTCAGAGGTGACTAAGCTTCCAAATGCTGTCCGCCTTCCCCTTTATAAATGTGACATTTAAAGCCCCTTTGGCACAGGTAAATCACAATTACATTTTCAAGGGCCTCTGGTCCCATTCCAAATCCATGAACAACCTGAGCTGGCAGTGGGAGGGCTCTCTCTCTCTGTGTCTCTCTCTCTCTCTCTCAATCTCTCTCTCTCTCTCTCTCTCTCTCACACACACACACACACACACACACACACACACACACACACACGGCTCCAGCCTTTCCCACTTTTATTCCTCCACACAGCTCCTTCTCATTGCAGCACTACCTGTCTTTCCTGCAATGCCGATTCATTCCCATTTCCCTCCAAGACCCAGGAGAGCTTGGGGAAGTAGAGTCGGGGACAGAATCCCCAAAGGGAAGGTGGCAGGAGGTGTGGGGCAAAGCTGAGCCGGGACACAAGGCTGCTCTCAGCCACTCTGGGTGAGCTCTTCAGGAGCCAGGACCCCGGAGGGCAAGCTCCCTTCTCCACGGCCATCACCATGGAGGGATCCTCCAAGCTCCCCATTTTTGATTTCAGAGTGCCTCAGACTCAGCCGATGGGTCATTTTTCTTGTATATTTTCTCTTGATTGCCCTCCTTCATGGCTGCATATCTGGCTAGCGTGAAGAGATAGTCACTGAGTCTGGAAGGGCAGAGAGAGAGAAGCAAACAATGGTTTGAAATGAGAGGTCAACGCTAACTGGGTCTTCCCATATCTGCCTACAAGGAGAAGATAGAAATCACGTGCTCTAGGCATATTGTGTGGGGATGGCAGACCCTGCCATCTTGCACTTGACAGATGGCACGTGAGGCCAGCTTCTGTGAACACCAAGGACTCTAGTGTCAAGGCTGGGGCCATTCCTGCAGGATGAGGCCATTGCCCTGGCCCTACCCTGGGGGCCAGGTGACTTTGGACCCCTCTCGGAGCTATTTCAAGTGATCAGGGCTCATGTGAGTGACCAGTTTGGGTGTTTCCCAAACTAGAGTGTGCACAGGCATCACTGAAGGGTCTTGGCGATGTGCAGATTCTGACTCAAAAGGGCTAGGCCCGGGACTCTGCAGGCCTAGTTCCTGGGTGATGCCGATGCTGCTGGACTAGGCCCTACCGACATTCTGGATCATTCTCTGTGTTCGGGTCTGTCCGATGCATCATGTGCAGTGTAGGATGCTGACAGCACCTTTGGTCTCCGCCCACCATGTGCCAGTAGCACCCCTGCACCCAGTGTGACAACCCATAATGCCTCTGAACATTGCCAAAGGAACCAGCTGAGAAGCACAGGCTGGAGCATTCCAGAGACCAGAGCCAGCCCCTTTCCCGCCTCCTCCTTTGCACCGACAGTAGTGGGCATCTGTGCATGAGGCTTTCTGCAGGGGCAGCGGTGGAGGGAACTAGAGGACAAGACACCACGGGCCCGCAAGACACTTTCGCTGTCAGCTCTTCTGCCTCCTGCCGTCCCGCACCTTTTGCTATTTCACTCCCAGTGCTGGGCGCCATGCTCCTCCCTCTCTCTCAGCTCCACGCCACATCCTCCCGATCCCTCCCCTGACTCAGCCCCAGCCCCATGGCGGCTCTCAGGGAGAGTAAAGGGGAGGTGGTTGGGGTATTTCCGTCCCCTGGGCCTCGTGCTCCTAGAGGGCAGCGCGCGTCTACTGCTTGTTGGCTCTGTGAAGCCTTACTGAGGAGACGAAATGGCCTGTCCCATGCAATGCGGTCCCCCCAGGGTTGCTGCTTTGAAGGGGAAACAGACCTGCTCCTCGCTCCCAGGGAAGCCCTCCTCCTGGAAGGGAAGGAGCTTCTCAGGACCCGTCAAAGCCAGACCATGTCCGTGGGAGGAGTGGCCACAGTCAGGGGCCAGACCCGGGCTGTGAGATCACTTTCTAGACACCCGGGACAGCTCCTGGGGTACAGACCTAACTCCCTGCATTCCCCCAGCTTTCTAACTGCCCCCAGGCTCTGGCGTTGCCCACACTGGTGCCACAGGAACCAGGGCTGAGGTGGGAACCAGCAGGGCAGGCTTTGGGCCAGGTGTGGCTCCAGTCTCAGGGGACAGGCGTGAGGCAGGAAGCCCTCCCTGACCAGCCTGGCTCACTGGGGCCTGCACTGGGGCCCCTGAGCTCATTGTGGCCTGGCTCTCTTCTCTTGGTTCACGGTGCCCCAGGCCCTCTTGAGGAGAGGAAACTGGCTGATAGCGAGCCTGACTCCTGGCTCCCTGGTCCGTCACCATCGAGAGGCCTGTTGAAACCCCCTGTGATGGATCCATCATCTCCCACGCCTGAGCACCCAGCCTCCAAGAGCACCCCTTGCCCCTGCAATACCGCTTTGCACTTACGTTTTTCTTCCTGGTTTTTACAGCAGCCTCTCCCAACAAGATCTAAATCTTACTGGGACAGGCACAGTGCCCTGTTCATCGCAGCCTCCCCCGTGCCTGGCGTGGTGCCTGGCACAGAGCAGATGCTCATAAACACTAAGGGAATGAGCGGGGAGAAGGAACACAGCCCCACGCTGCTCCTCGGGCCGCTGCACTCCTGCTACCTCCCACAGATGAGACTCGGCTTTCAGAGGGGACCCCCAGCCTCCAGGCGAGTACCTGTTTAAGAACTTGGCCACGTTGGCATCGGTCTCTCCCATCTGGACAAGAGGCACCACGCTAGAAAGGAAGTCATGTGACACCATGGGGCTTGACAGGCTCTGACCTGGGGCCTGAACATTGAGCGGCATTTCACACCCACCACCGCTCAACCTGAACCTGCCCAGGCTCAGCCAGCACCGGAGATGACGAATCGTCACATTTTCCCCAGGCCATTGGCCCCGTTCCCGTGGTCATATTGCAGGAGGGCCTGGCCAAGGAGGGCTGGGGAATGGCAGGGGCGCTGAGGGAACCCCTCTGGCCTAAACCACACCCCAGCCAGCTGGCTTTTGTGCCATTGGACCTGGGTCTGGGTGGGGTGAAGTTGGGATAGTCAGCCTCTGCCTTCAAAAACACATCGGGGCCTGACCCTTAATTCCCAATGGTAAACTCTAAGCCCTTTGTAAGTCATTACTTAGAACAGCTTCACAGGGGAGACAAAGACCCAGGCAGACCAAACTCTTGATTCCACAGGATTCTGGATTCCTGGGGTCCATGCCAGCCTATGTGCAGATATATCAGACACTGGACGACCGTCTGCTGGGCACCAGTGTCGTGGCAGGCCCTTGCCGAGCCTTTCCCAGGTTATCACCCTGTGGCATACCCCTTGTTGGCAGGCCAGTTCCCCAAAGCCCGGCCTCAGGGTTCTCAGCCCCACCCAAAGCCATGCAACTGGCCAGTGGCCCAGCAGGGTGTGCATCCCAGCCTGTCACGGAGCTCCAGTCTGTCTCAAGTGGGCACCGCGCACTCAGCGAGGAGCTTCTTCACCCGATGTGCCCCAGGCGTGCGTCCCCACCTCAGTGACAATGTGCGTCTTGTCACTGCACAGCTGCTGCATGGAGGACCCACCAGCTGCCCCGCCACGCCTCTCTGCATGCAGGACCCACCAGCTGCCCCGCCACGCCTCTCTGCATG